GGGGGGGGAGAAAAAAAAAAAAAAAGATAGATAGATAGATAGATAGATAGATAGATAGATAGATAGATAAAGAAAGAGAGAGAGAGACTGGATGATAAAATTGAAATATGGGTCAAATTGTGGTCGCGATCTATTTCGCAGTTGGAATTATTTTTTTTTATTTATTTAGCATTTTTCTTGGAAAGATCACAACAAAATCTACGAGTACTCCAATTTTCAGGTTTTCGCACACATTTTTCTGAAAGTGAAAACTCACCAAATTGCGAATATTGTTTAGAGAAAAAAAAAGATAGATAGATAGATGGATAGATAGATAGATAGATAGATAGATAGATAGATAGATAGATAGATAGATAGATAGATAGAGAGAGAGAGAGAGAGAGAGAGAGAGGCTGAATGATAAAATTGAAATATGGGTCAAATTGTGGTCGCGATCTATTTCGCAGTTGGAAGGATTTTATTTATTTTTTTAGCGTTTTTTCCTGGAAATATCACAACAAAATCTACGAGTACTCCAATTTTCAGGTTTTCGCACTTATTTTTCTGAAAGTGAAAATTCACCAAATTGCGAATATTGTTTAAGTTGGCCCACACATGGCTGAGTGGCAAAAATGGAAAATGTGATGAATCGGCACGACGATTATTTCTCGGTCTAAATGATTTTTTTTTTATGTTCTAATATTTTTCCTGGAAAGAACACGACCCCATCTATAGATTCTCAAAATTTCATATTTTTCTGCAGGTTCCTCCGAGCAAAAAAAATCGTCACAATTTTGACAAGGATCGGTTCCCCAAATTCTTCTGCCCCCTAAGAACTCACTTTGCATCCTGGTCGCCCGCAGCCAAAAATGCGACACCTTAACAGTCTTAGGGCTGTGAATTTCTTGCAAGAGCAACGATTACAATGAAAGTGAGATCGAGAAATGACTCGTCGACAAAACAAAACGGAGCATCAACATCGTAATCGAATGGAAAAAAGACGTTGAGCAGCACAAAGAGACACGAAAAAACAAAAAAATGAACAGCAAACGAAGTAGCGCCTTCACCCCCGCTCGCCCGCAGGATTCCCATATGTCTGAGAGAGAGAGAAAAAAAAAAAAAAAAAAAAAAAAAATCGCTATCTCTTCTCTCATTCTCTGGCCGCAATCGCACAGAAAGAGAGAGAGAGAGAGAGAGAGAGAGAGAGAGAGAGTGAGTGAGTTTCATCTACCCCGTTTCGCGGTCGAAATCCCTTATGCAAGCGTGGTCTTTGGAATTGAAATTGCCTGACCTCCACTCGCGCCGAGATGTTCTGATCGTAAAAGTGGCGCATGCATCTGTTCTGCGCTTGGCCCCGTTTCGATGACACCTTCGTGTCGCTTCACATCGCCAAGAGATCGTGACAATGTCATAGCGCAGCGCCGGGATACCGTGCGCTGCGCTTGCACTGTGCTACAGACCCTTCAGTCCACCACGAATGAAATGCACAAGGACTCGTTTGCCGAAAAGTGCCCCACGGACGATATGCACAAGGACTCGTTTGCCGAAAAGTGCCCCTCACTTCTTTTCGAGGTATTTCGGGGTATGTGCTTCCACTGGAGGACCGGTCCTTCCTTTTTAAAAAGTCCCGGTTCTATAAGAGCTAGCTGTAGGTAATCCGCAATTTTGTCAAGGACCGATCCCCCAAAACAATTTGTCCCCTAAGAACCCACTTTGCACCTTGGTCGCCCCCCACCGAAAATGCGACACCTTGACACAGACGTGGAAGCACACTATACCGCAGCCTAAGGGCTGCGAACAGGGAGGTCAGGCGCAACGAAACAGGCGTTTTTCAAAAAACACCTTTGGCGATTTCCTGTGCTCAGAGGAACCCGCAGAAAAATCTGAAATTTTGAGAATCCATATATGAGGTCGTGTTCTTTCTAGGAAAAACATTAGAACATTTTTAAAAAATCGTTTAGACTAAGAAATAATCGTCGAGCCGATTGGGCATATTTTCCATTTTTGCCACTCAACCATGTGTGGGCCAACTTAAAAACTACTCCAAATTCAGTGAGTTTTCACTCTCAGAAGAATGCGCGAAAAAACCTGAAAATTGGAGTACTCGTAGATTTTGTTGTGATCTTTCCAAAAAAAAACGCTAAATAAATTAAAAAAAATCATTCAAACTGGGAAATAGATCGAGGCCGCAGTTCGACCCATATTTCAATTTTGACATTCTCCTTCTCTCTCTCTCTCTCTTTTTCTCTCTCTCTCTCTCTCTCTCTCTCTCTCTCTCTCTCTCTCTCTCTCTCTCTCTCTCGTATCAACAAATGAAACAAAACTCTTTTTCTCTCTCTCTCTCTCTCTCTCTCTCTCTCTTTCTCTCTCTCTCTCTCTCTCTCTCTCTCTCTCTTGTGCGAGCTCAAGAGGCACCTTTGGTGATTTTCTGTACTCGGAGGAACCCACAGAAAAATTTGAAAATTTCAGAATTCATATATAAGGTCGTGTTCTTTCTAGAAAAAAATATTAGAACATTTTTAAAAAATCATTTAGACCGAGAAATAATCGTCGTGCCGATTGGGCATATTTTTTATTTTTGCCACTCAACCATGTGTGGGCCAAATTAAAAAGTACTCAAAATTCAGTGAGTTTTCACTCTCAGAAGAATGCGTTAAAAAACTTGAAAATTGGAGTACTCGTACATTTTGTTGTGATCTTTCCAGAAAAAACGCTAAATAAATTTAAAAAAATCATTCCAACTGCGAAATAGATTGTGGCCGCAATTTGACCCATATTTCAATTTTGCCATTCAGCCTCTCTCTCTCTCTCTCTCTCTCTCTCTCTCTCTCTCGGAGCTTTGGCCAATTTGACCAAAGTTGTGCCGACGCGAGCACTACACTGTATGTGTACGGCGATGATGCATTCCGCGAAATGGGCAAAGGAAAGGGAGAAGCTTAGGAGGAAAGACTACCACTGAAGTGAAACAGAGTATGGAGGGCAAAACAAGGGGGAGGAGTTGACGCAGTAACAACCGGAGGTAGAAGCGGGATCTATGAAGTTTTGGAAAACCCGTAAAACTGAGGATTTTGGAATTACGAAAATTTTGGCATCCAGGGTAAAATCCTACACGACTCAGACGGGGATACGTAAGTAGGAGTTGACGGGATGACGGAGGTAGGGAAAACGAGGGTAGGCGAAAGCGGCAGATTTTCGTTTTGCATTGATTTCACCTGGAGTTTGGGCTTGCATTTTCGTCTGCTTTCCTTTTCTTTTCTTTTCTTTTCTTTTCTTTTCTTTATATTGCAATTTTGTGGTCACTTGAGATACCGACTCCCGGATAACACGGGCGGAAACCGAGAGCTACGTAGTGCTTTTAGCAGACCTGACTGAAGGGGGACGGTACCTGAACTACAAGAGAAAAATTTCCCTGAATTAAATAATCATTCTACAGTAAAATTACATTCTAAATTTTAAATTTTCATTCCATCTTAAAAAATGTCATTCCAATTTTAAAATTTTTCGTCTTACTTGAAAACTT